ATGAACGGACAAGAATTAATTAATTAATCTGCTGCTGAAGTTTCCAAACTTTGTTATGGGTTTATAGATTAAAGTCTTATCATATTTTTACACCTAGGAGCTCTAAAGGCGTGGTTCCTGTTTTAAATCACCTAATAGATTTTGAAACCAATTGTAATCCTTTAACAAACAGTTTCTCAATGCCTCTGATCCTGATACTGTATATAAGAGGAGTCAAACATTCAGCTCAACATTACCCTCACTTTGTCCATCCGTAAGACTACAGTGAGTATATAAAGCTATGCTTAATCTTTCTTTTAATTATGTATTTGACAAAGACTGTATTCTTTCTCCAACAGCTAAGATCATCACAGCCATGCTGAAGGTAGCACTTATTCTGGGATGCCTCCTGAGCCTCATTGTGGCTCAACCAGTAAGTGTTACAATATTTTAAGTTATTTTAAAAAAAATGGGAAGAAGATTAAGGTTTTAGATTTCCATGATGATTACATTAACCCAAGTATTGTCATAAACGGGACAGATGGATCCAGTATTCAAGGTGAGACAGTCAGTAGGAAAGTTAATTAAAACAAAGGCATAAACAGACAGAACAGAAGCATGGAGTTTATGTGGATCTGCGGAGCTGCAGCAACCGTAGGAGGGGGGGTTGGGACACCACCCGATCACTGATACTCTGGTTTAACAGTTCAGTCCATCCACTCAATAATAGGCAGGATCAGCCGATGTACTGCCAATGAGATGTGGCCCTGAGCCGCCCAGAATGTCCCTGATGCTGTAGCCCCGGAGAACATGCAGGAAACCGATCCAGGTCAAGGGAAAACAGAGCAGGCAAGAACAGTTCAGGAATCTTGGAGACCTCCGCTCGATCAGAGGTTCCGACCCAAACAGGAACAGAGGGATTCAGGCTTCCATGAATCCTCAGAGCATGAAGGCAGGTTCAGAGTCCTGTGCGTCGAGCAACAAGCTCAGACAGAAACGCACAGAGAGGCAGAATCCAGCAGGAGTCCAAAGGTGATTAAGGCAAAGAGATCAGACAGGTACAGACAGGGCCAGTGGATGAGAGGGAACGGAATCAGGAAATCAGAATCACAAAGGAAACGATGAAATGCTCTCACCACAGGTTAGGGGTTAAACTTGCCTAAAAACACTGGCTCCAGAATAGTCTCCTTACTGGAACGGGCACGTGAACTTTTGACTAACTAAAACTAAGGAAACAGAACAAACAATGGTCTGGCCCCGATAGCTGGAACTGAGTCCAATATAGAGGAACAGATGCAGATGGATGAGATCAGTGATAACTAGAAAACCGAGCAGAGTTAGGCAGGTGAGTGAATTGAACAATTAAGGCCAGCTTTCAGGGCAGATCATGATGAGTATTGTATCTTCTGTGTAGTAATGTTGGTTCAAGTTGTAGTTTTACATGGTTTTAAATAGTTACACCTGATTTTCCAAGTACTTATAGGAGCTGAATCTCTAATTAGTTAAAACAATTGTAGATTTCTCATTATATTTTACTAGAACCTCTAACATTGATTTTTTTTGGACCGTTCATAAATCCAACTTCAATCTGCTTTAGAATCTGTGTATGGAGCAAACATTAGCTGAATAGTATCAATGAAGAAAAAGGAAAAACAAAAATAATAATAATCAAACATTTTTGGCTTGACTGTCTTTTTTAACATTGAGATTTTGCTTTTAGTCAGTGCTGTTGTAATAATGTTTGTGTATTAACAGAATACAAAACAACACATATACTAAACATGAAAAAGCAGGAGGCCAATTTGTGACTTGGTAACTTGTTTTCCACAGATGGAGCACCAGCGATTTGCCCGCTCTGGCTCTGATTCAGGGTCAAACTCCAATGAGGTGAGAATCCTTTCTGTTTTCTGTAATCAAACCCAAAATAAACTGTTACTATATAACTCCTGTCTTTTTCCAATATAGTTCTAACTTTATCTTTGATTTTCTTAAAGGGATCAGCAGTTAACAATACCCTGTTAGCCCTCATTGCCCAGCTTCTGGCTGCTCTCGCAACAACAACAACTGCAGCTACAACAACAGTAGCTACCACATAAACTGAAGTCTTGAAGACTGGCTATTTGGTCATCTGTTGTTGAGAAACCATTTCTCTTTCTTTCATTTCATTTTTTGAAAACATTGAGAGCCTTACAAAAACTATGTTGTTTCTCCTAAAACATCGATCAAACTTGCTGTTATATGTATTATCTGTTTAATAAAGTCTAGCAATGAGAAAATTATAGTTCTTTTTTTTTTTCCTTGTAGGCTTTTTAAACATTCCTATTTATGGATTTATGTATCTGCAAATGATTCAAGCACAAATATGCCTATTTGTGACTCTCAAAGGAAGGAAAAGGCATTTGTACACCTATGCTGCATGTTTGCCTTATGTTTTTATCCATCAGATTTTATTAGTGAAGGTTACAAAGGGATAAAAAAAATCCCAAAGATTCTTCTGAAAAGTTTGAACATATCCCGTTATCATAGAGTAAGACTGCAAGAGAAGAAATTCCAGATTTTCAAGCTCAACATGAATGAGATGTTTAACGAAGAAAAACTCAGAAGTACAGTCTCTTATTTAGCCTAAAATACATACATGCAAATTTTCTTCATAAGCAAATCTAAAACTGAGGCAGACTGTGGTTATGAAAACAACTACAGGTAAACGGCAATATTCATATACTGTAATATGTTCTTTACTGATTAATGTTTATTGTTGTTTAACTGCAAAATAACTCAAAACTAAAATATTCGAAGGAGAATTAGTAAAATAAACATGATAAAATAATATCTCAACACGTTGCCACTAATACTGCACCAGTGATGCTGTCTAGAGGTTTAGGTTATCCTATGACTTAAGTTAGACTGACTTGAACTTTTGGTCAGAGGGTAATATTATTACTACTGCTACTACAAACCTTACCTTTTTTAGCCTCTAGACCCCCTCCACTACCAACAAATCAAGTGTGATGTGACCCACAAAAATACATTTTTGTAGGTAGCTGTTTTGCTGGCATTGAGCAGTTATTTTTTTCTTATTTTTTATTTTAAAATCTTAACCCAATGTGCTGCCTCAAGTCAGTATCCCAACATATCTGTGTTAAATTGCCCAAAACAGCTTTTGTTTTAACCTAAGAATCTGTTAGCTGAATATCTTTTCTAAATTCAAGAATTGTAATATAAGACTTAAGAGAGAGGCATAATCAAACTTGCAAAGAAAACAAAAGGTTCACACTGAGTGAAAAAGATTTTACTTGGCAAAAGTATTTATTTAAAATGTAGTCAAAGTAAAATATAAGTTTCATTTAATTTCCACTTCACTCCTCATGCTTTTTCACCTCAGCTTTGAGGTTGCTTCTTTCCAGGTAACATCTATGGCTCAAACAGGAAAGGAAAGTTGCCATTACCCTGAAGGTATAAAAAAGGAAACAAATGTGAAATCGAATATGGAAAAAAATTAAATAAAATTTATGCCAAAGAAAGTTTAAACTTATAGGAGCACCTCATCAGGACCAGTTGCATCACCACGGGGAACGGGGGGAACAGTGGTGGACTCTCCATGTGTCCCTGCTGGCCATGTCTGGCAAAGACCACAGAGAAAGTTACATAATTGTGCAGTTCAATACTTAAATCATGGGCAAAAATGGAAGAAATATATCACCTTTTCTGTCTGTAGCTGTGGCTTAGAGCCCTGCTAAAATATAAAGTACATGATAGTTAGATTGGGTCATTTATAATGTTAATATAGTAAACATAAGATGTTTGGCAGATTATACAGCTAGTCTTTAAACTTAAATGAAAAAAATCTTACTGTACTCTATAAAAATGCACATCTACACAGACTTGAGTCGTAAAAGACAGCTTTAGAAATTTTATATATTTCAAAAATTGACAAATTATTTATGGTTTCAAAGCTAAGCTACAGAAATTGTTGCTGGAAAGAATAAAATTTTTTAAATAAATACAATTTTCAGAGTATCAATCCTACACCGCAAAAATTATCTAAAAATACGTAAAAATCTCTTAAATTAAGTGCATATTCCCTTTTTGAGTAGTTAAATAAGATAATTTGCCAATGGAATTAGTATATTTACTCTTAAGATAAGATGATTATATAATATGCACTGGAAATAAAGCAATACATTTTTTTTTCTTATTTTAAATGTAAATTATCTTGCTCCATTGGCAAACTTACCTCCTCAAATGTAAAAAAAAAAAAAGCACTCATTTTAAGAAGGAATGACTTAATCAGATTTCAGTTTTTGCAATCTTCAGGTAAGAGTTACAAGAAGCATCACTGAGTTCAGTAACAAAACTGGCTGTCTGTTTGGTTTAATAGCCAGACATCATTGCAACACACTTAACGCATCCACACTGACTCAACACCCGCAACCATGTTATTATCATTAAGCCTTGATAGTGTGTCACCAGAGTTGGCAGCTTAAACCCTTAATTTTAAGCGATACACAAAGTAAAATGATTTTTGTTTTTTAAAGTCAAACTGATTTGATCTTTTTATTGATTAAATTTAAAGTACTGAATGTTTCTCTACAACAGGAACCCCAAATAGGCGAGTTTCCAAATCTCTTATCTTTGTGTTCTCAATCTGTGTGCCTCTTTTATTGCATACTTTTCTGGTAGACACTTGATTGATTCTTTGATTGTGAAATATGCTATACAGATTATTTTACTTATAGTCACCAAAAAACTTAATTTGATATATAATTTTAAAATAGATTTTTTGGGAAACAATTACCTGCAGTGGGAGCTGTGGTCTTTGTGTGGCTCTTTCAACGTTCTGCTGTCCATTGTTAGGCAGAATTGCAGGGTTCCTCTGCTGGGCATATCCATACCGTGGTAGAAAGTAAGAGTAGCCCTTTAAAAAAAACATTCACTTGTTAATAAAAATGTCTATATAATGCAATGATTAGGATTGGATCAGTATGTTTTAATAAAAACCTGTTGTCTGTGAAGCTGAGGGAATCCAAACGATGGAAACTGAAACTGTGGATACATCTGCAAGAGAGATTACAAAAATTAGAACCCCTTCTTTATTAATGCGGGGAGTCTTGAAGCAGTTTCAGTAGTAAAACAGTATGTTTACTGTTAGTGTCTGCTCTGGTACCTGCATAGGGTTCTGGGCCTGCTGAGGATTGTTGGGATTGTTCGGGTCCTGTTGAGGTCCAAGCTGCTCTTGTTGTCCATTAGGGAGAAGCATTGGTGTTAGTTGGTTACCCTGGTTGGGCATCAACAGTTGTGGCCCCTGGGGGCCGAATGGACCTCCCAGTTGCGGGTTCAAATTCAACACCTGGGGCGTGAGCAAGACATCAGGTGTCTGCTGCTGCAGAACATACTGGGGCAATAAAGAGCCCTGGAGGAAGTGAAAGTAAAAGTGTGTTAAATGATAGAGCACACAAAGGAACAATTTTTTTTAGCAGTAACGGTGGCTTGTGCACCTGTGCTTGTCCAAGAGCAGCTAGAGTTAATCCATTCAGTCTCAGGATCTGAATACAAATTAGTTCAGTTACATCTATTTGTTTCATTTGCTGTATAACAAACAAAAGGAAAATTAATTGTTAAATATGATTTACCTCATTGCTGTTGCTTGCAATTAGTCCAATCTGCACCTTCAAAAAGAGACACAGAACATTTGATTAGTCATTAAACATTTCTTACTTGGTTTATGTGTAGTAATGCTGGATCTAACAGAAACTCACTGGCAGAGCAAGGCTTGACCTAAGAAGGCAGATTACCAGAAGGGCACTTTGTAGCTTCATTGTGTTCTGCTGTGAGCCAAAATATTCACACTTTGTTAAATTCTAATTAAAAAGTAGTTGTTTTAAACACCTTTAAAAACTGAACACGATAAACTCAGCTTACCGATGCTCTACTCTTCGTTCCTCGTCAGTTCTGTGCCTCCTCAGTCGGTTCCAGATGCCTTTTAAATTCTCTGAACATGAGCTGAAATAGTCCACTTGCAACTCATCCAGACAATATGTGGTCAGAATGACAGACATTTCACATGACAACAGACTCAGACACTTACAACACAGAGCTGCTAAGACTGTCATTAAGTGTAAGTCACGTCTATAAGCAACATGACATGCCCTGTGGAAAGTTGTTCATCACTCTGCAGAGATTTAGGATCTCTAACTTTGTTTGCTTTCGAACAGGAGAGATGAAATAATCTGAAGCCTGTCTCAGGTTTTTCCACCTAGTTGACACTTTTTCTGCTTCATTGACAAAGGTGTCAAACTTACTCAAGCCATTTATTCTCCTAGAGTTTAAGCGCACATGTTAACACTCGCAGTATGTAATTAAGTGCATTAGAAGCAATTCAAAATTTTGCTTGTCAGGAGAAAAAAAAGGGAGCAGAAGGCTCATGATCAAACTGCCATACGTCATCAAGGCTTGTCTACAGAACCAAGGTTGACTGTAGTCTCTCCATCCATCCATCCATCCATCCATCCATCCATCCATCCATCCATCCATCCATCCATCCATCCATCCATCCATCCATCCATC